TATAGTTTTGTTTTCTTGAGACAGGGTCATGCTATGTAGTTCAGGCTAGCCTTGAACACACTATGTAGCCCAGGCTGGCCTCAAACTCACAGTGATCCTCCTGCCTCAGCCTCCCGAGTGCTGGGATTATAGGCATGCATCACCATTCAATTCAGTTGGTTTCTAACTCACCGCACCACCCCACCCTAGATAAACCAACCCAGTGAAGAAGTATCCTGAACGAATTTTCTGAGACACTTTTGTTGGGTGAGGCTTGGAGTTGTGCTGCTAGAAATACGGAAGGCAACATCTCTCTGTGCAGTCAAAAGATGTCTTGAGGTCCACAACGTTTCCATTTGGGTGGCTCAGTCTGTGGCCTGGATGCTTCCTGGCCTCTCTGCCACTCTGCATGCCTAAAGCCCCTATGCCAAGCAAGAACTGCAGTTAGGTAACGGATTCACCTCTTGGAACCCTGCTGTGGGCCAGGTGAACTGTTCTATTATAGCATGTCCGTGAAAATGTTGACTGACTGAATGACTGACCGGGTTGGGGCTTATTAGGCACTTAGTGCTTATTGAGCACGGACGTCCAGCGAGATGAGTCAAAAATGCAAAATCCACCCCGAGCCAGCTCCTATGGGGGCCCTCCTGGGGAAAGCACATCTATTTACAAGTGCGGTGGGAGGCGCAAGGAGATGTAAGGGCACCTCTCTAAGCTGCAGGAAAGGTTGGGATAAAGGCCCTCCTTCCTTGTCTTGTGGGAAAGGGAAAAACCCGCCACAGTGCCAGGGTGAGGCGTCTCCTCCCAGGGCTTCCTGGACCCAGGAAACTCACGCGGCTGAGCCCGGACTTCAGTCGTTTTCGCCGCTGCGGCCTCGCCCTCCAGCCCCTGCGGAGCTACAAGGGCCGGCAGTGGAGGAAGGAAAGCTGCCCTAGCCGGCGAGCGGCGCCAGGCCGTTTCCCAGTCGGAGCGGTCTGGGGCTCCCCTCGCTGACCTCACGACCTTGCTGCGTAGATACCCCGATCACGTGGCTGCCGCGCCACTGTGCCCTATAGCCCCCTGGTGGCCGGACTCTGGCAACGCCGGTTCTGTGGGCGGGAGCCCAGCCGAGCCCAGCCCAGCCCAGCCCAACCCAGTCCAGTCCAGTCCAGTCCAGCCCAGCCCAGCCCAGTGGAGTCGAGTCAGGCAAGCTCCTACATTGGCATGAGCACCCGCGGTGCGATCTTGGGCTCTACGGTGGAAATTCCTTCGCCGATGGCGCCGGGGATGGCACCGAGAGGCCCAGGGCAGCCTCCCCAAGTCCGAATTGAAGTGGGTGGAGGCGACAGAATGGCCACAGTATCTTGAACTAGGATCCCAGGTCCCTTTTGCAAATAACAGAACAGAATAAGGGAGTTTAAGGAGTCTTTTTGTTGTTGTTCCTTAGAACATGTATCTCTTGCCAAAATAGCGTGAACTAATTATTACTCCTCTGAGCCTCAGTGTCCTGATGCAGAAAGTAGAGATATTAAGAGTGCCTACTTCACAAGGTATTTATTAGGATTAAATCAAATAATCCACCTAAAGGATTTTAGCAGACTGGTCAAAGCTAGTTAGTTGTTTAATTTGTTTCTTAGGGCTTAGCAAAAAGCTAAGAGTAGGTGTCTTTTTTTCCTCATGATTAAGGGAAATGAAAGGATTTTGACACCATAAACTAAATACATACATAAAGTGAATTACTCATAAAAATGTATATATATAATAATTACAACCCTCTCTTCCCACACTTAGCCTGGACTCTGAGAAACGAAACCCCACCTTAGTATGTACATAAACAGAACTTTCCTAATCCACTTCATTTGCATTGTCTTCATTTGCATTGCCTTCTCAGGACTCTGCAGGCAAGTAGTTCCTGGCAGGATTTTCCCTCAAAACCCATCAACTCTTCCATGAAAAGCATCAACAGCTTGCACCCTAGAATTCTTTGAATGCCTCCCCTTAAAATCCTCCCTTATAGAAACATTATGCATTACAAACTTGTTCTAATTTTTAAAAACAGGAAAAACGTGTTATATACCTTAAATGTAAAAAAAAAAAAAACTCCCCTTGTTGATTCCACCATCGCTATACTGTTGGCATCATGATTCTTAGCCAATTCCAATCAAATTCCCACATTGAAAGTCCCCCTACCTTGCCTCAAACTTACGTTTCTCAAGTTCCTCCCTGAGGTACTGTTACAGATTTGCCAGGTGGTGTTCTCTCTTAATGAAATAAGCAGTAAACAGCTTTGTCATATCAGCTGGTGATAGCCAGGAACTTGACAGTTCCGAGTACCACAGCTTTACCACAGCTCCAGATCTTCAACTTGGAAACTGTATGCTCCTCTCAGATCTCTTAAACCTCTCTGCTGTAATGGTAGGAAATGAAGGTTTCACATTGGTTGGAGCTCTGATCTCTTTCCCTGAGTTCCAAGTTGCTAAGGATAATAGGCCTATTGCCCACACGTCATCCACTATGAGAAGTCATTCCTGACTCCCTGGATTATAGGGCTCTTCTCTGTATTCCAGCCACCCTCTGGCTCACCTCTTACATGGCTCTCACCACACCTGTTTTGTCCCCAGTGAGCCACTGTATCTAACAGCAAGTCTAGTAAGGCAGGGTTTCCTGCATTGTGCTTGAGATGTCAGCAGATGATGTGTCTGGGACTCAGGTGATTTTATGATAATTTCTATATTTCTACTCTGGCCACCACACCCAAGACCCTCTAGCTACACTTCAGTTTTCTCCATTCATTCAAGTGTTCTAATAGCGTACTCAAAAGAATTTTTATCATTTTCTTCTAAGTTATTCAGATTTTTTATTAGTGCCCTTCATTATTTTATCTTCAGATATGATATATTTCTATGTTTCTCTTTCTTTTTCTTTTTTAATTTTTTTAAATTATATTAGTACATGTTTGAAATGCATGCAGTTTACAATAATCTTGGGGAGTGGTTACATGTACATACCACAGCTTGTGACTTTTTTTTATCCCCTTCCCTCCCTCCCCTCCCTCCTCCTCCAGTTTCCCTATCCCATTTTTCATTCTTGTTGATATTACTGATCTTAGCTCATGTTATGGCATATAATATTTACATTAATTGAGGTTATTAAGTTCCTGTACATGGTATATCTTTATTCTACTTGTTTCCCCTTCCCCTCCTCCTCACCCCTAGCACTTTTTCCCTTGGACCACTTCCATATTGCAAGAGATCCATCTCCTAGTCCCCTTTTATCCATCCTTCATTATTCTCTTTATACTTTGCCTCACTCAAATAAGAGATACTATAACATATTTAAGCTTTTGTGTCTGGTTTATTTCACTCAACATTATATTTTCCAGGTGCATCCATTTTACTACAAATGTCTCAAATCTGTCATTCTTTATAGCAGAGTAGTATTCCATTTTTTATAGATACCACATTTTCTTTATCCAGTTGTCCATTGATGAGTATACAGGCTATTTCCAGGATATAGCTATTATGAGCTGTGCTGCTATAAACACTGGTATGGATGTATTACTGTAGTACAATGTCTTAAACTCTTTGGGGAAGATACCTAGGAGGGGAAATAGCTGGGTCATATGGAATTTCTAATTTTGGTTCTTTGAGAAATCTCCACACTGATTTCCATAATGGTTGTAACTAGTTTACATTCCCACCAACAATGAAAGAGGGTTCCTTTTGCACCACAGCCTCACAAGCTTTTGTAATTGTTTGGTTTCTTAATGATTGCCATTCTTTCTGGAGTAAGATAGAATCTTAGGGTTGTTTTAATTTGTATTTCTCTAACGGCCAGAGATGTTGACCATTTTTTCATGTATTTGTTGGCCATTTGTATTTCTTTCTCTGTGAAGCTGTCTGTTCGTTTCTCTTGCCCATTTCTTGACTGGATCTTTAATTTTAGGTGGTTTTTTTTTTAGTTCTTTCTACATTCTAGATATTATTTCTCTGTCTAAGGAGTAGCTGGCAAAATTTTTTCCAGTTTTGTAGGTTGTCCCTTCACTCTAATGATTGACTCTTTTGCTGTACAAAATCTTTTTAGTCTGATATAATCCCATTTGTTGGTTCTTGCTGTTATTTCTTATGCAATTGAGGTTCTGTTTAGAAAATCCTTTTCTATATCTATGTTTCAAGTGTTTTACCTATTTTATCTTCCAATAGGTTTAATGTTTCCATTTTAATGTTTGTATCTTTGATGCATTTTGATTTTAATTTAGAATATGGTGAGAGATAAGGGTCCAGTTTCAATATTCTGCATACAGATAACCAGTTTTTACATCACCACTTGTTGAATAGGCTGTCTTTCCTCCATCAAATGCTTTTGGCCCCTTTGTCAAAGATCAAATAGCTGAATGTGTCAGGGGAAGTTTCTGTATCCTAAATTCTGTTCCACTGATCCACCTATCTGTTTTTGTTCTAGTACCATGTCACTTTTTATCACTACTGCTTCTGCTTTGTAGTATAGTTTGAAGTCAGGTATTGCTATGCCTCTGGCTTTGCTCTTACTGCTCAAAATTGCTTTGCTATCCTGGGGCTCTTCTAGTTCCATATGAATTTTAGGATTATTTTTTCAAGATCAATAAAATATCCTGTTGGTATTTTGACTAGGACTGCAGTGAATCTGTATAACAGTTTGGGGAGTATGGCCATTTTGACAATACTGATTCTGCCTATCCAGGAGCAGGGCACATCTTTCCATTTTCTGAGATCCTTTTCAACCTCCTTTGTCAGAGTATTATAGTTTTCTTTGTAGAAGTCTTTCACTTTCTTGGTTAGGTTAACTCCTAGGTATTTCATTTTTCTTGAAGCTACTATGAATGGTATTATTTTCATAATTTCCTTCTCATCCTGTTCATTGTTGTTATACACAAATGTTCATGATTTTTGTGTGGTGATCTTGTATCCTGCTGCAATGCTGAAGTTTGTCATTAATTCTAAGAATTATTTGGTGTTCTTTGGGTCTTTTATGTAGAGTATTATGTCATCTGCAAATAATGACAATTTGAGTTATATTTTTCCTATATTCATCCCTTTTATTTCTTTCTCTTGCTTAATTTCTCTGGCTAATGTTTCAAGTACTATGTTGACAAAATGAGGTGATAGTGGATATCCTTGTCTTGTTCTTGATTTTAAGGGGAATTCTTTTAGTTTTTCCCCATTTAGTATGATGCTGGCTATTGGTTTGTCATATATAGCTTTTATCATATTCAGATATGGATCTTCTATACCTGTTTTCTTCAGAGTTTTTGTCATGGAGGGGTGTTGGATTTTGTCAAAAGCCTTTTCTGCACCTGTTTATATGATCATGTGGTTTTTGACCTTGCTTCTGTTTATGTGATATATTATATTTATTGACTTATGTATTCCCTTATACACTTATGATTGATATTTGTCAGCTAATAACACTACAGTGCTTATTTCTTGTAGCTTTTACTGGTATGTTTTTATATTTGTTCAGGCTTTACCACCTTACTCCTCTTTTTGCCAAGTAATCTTTAATTTTTACCCTTTACATTATTATACTTATCATTAGAAAGCGAGCCAAAACTTTATGTTTTCATTTGTAAAACTCTATGGAATGTACATTTTCAACAGAGTAAATTGGGAGACATTTTAGATCTAAATGATGAACAGTCCCAGAGTTAGAAAAGAGATTTAAAAGAAGTATGCCAAAGGGCTGGGGATGTAATTCAGTGGTATAGTGCCTGCCTGAAAGCATGAGGCCCTGAGTTTGATTCCCGGTACAAAAAAAAAAAAAGAAGAAGAAGAAAAAGAGAAGTATGCCAAAATGTTCAGTGTTTGCCTCTGGTTTATTTTTTCTTTTTTCTGAATACTTCCTGAATATTTAAATATTAATAATTTATTCTACTACTACTACTTGTATAACAACTCTAAAATTATTTAATAAGTAAAATGGTTTTACAAAATGTTCTAGTAAACAGGGAAGCAAAAAGTTTATTTTCAGGTATTAATGAAACTAAACTGAGTTTAGTTTCAATTATGTTTCCCTGGGGTAAAATTAG